TGAGACAAAGTATATGTGAACTGCTGCATGGAAAGTGAATTTGCTCTGTAAATCTTCACCCAAATCACAATAAATAAAATAAAATAAAAAAAAAGAGATACATATATGTAAATAAACAGAAGATGATTAGTGGTTACCTGGGGTAGGAGGGCAGGGGAAAGGGGAAGCTCTTGTTTGGGAGGCATTGAGTTTATGACAATGGTGTTGAGGTGTTTTGGAGAAGGACAGCACAGAAGGTGGCACAACATAAAAAATGCCATCAATGCCCCTGAGCTGTCAATGGAGAAGTTGTTGGCGAATGTCTTGTTGTGTATGTTTTCACCATAATGTTGTTGTTATGTGCCGTTGAGTCAGACCCGACTCATAGCGACCCCTCCTTGGGTTTCTGGGGCAGTGTCACTATGGAAGTAGATTGTCTCATCTTCCTTCCGAGGAGTGGCTGGTGGGTTTAAACCACCATCCATCTGGTTAGCAGTCAAGTGCTTCAGGCACTATGCTAATAAAAGTAAAAAGAAAGTATAATAAAAAAAACCCTAACTGGTTTATGTCATATTTTACGATATTGGACGAAAGCAAAGGAGCTCCTGTGATGCAGTGCCTAAGGCACTGGCTGCTGGTCAGAAGGAAGGCAGTTCAAACCCACTAACCACTCCAAGGAAGGAAAATGGGCCATCTACTTCAATAAATGTTTCGGGCTTTGGAAACCCAATGGGGTCGCCATGAGTCAGAGGTCACCTGAGGCAGTGGCTTTGGTTTGGAGGAAAGCTGCTTTGTGCAAGTTCTACTGTAATGCCATTCAACTTGATTCTGTTTCAGCAGCAGCTGTTTGTGTGTAGTATGGCCCTTTCACAGGCATGTCCCATCTTACCAACTAGGTCTCTAAAGGTAAGTTCCAATTGCACTTGTTCTGGGCTAGGTCCTCCTATGAACTCAGTCTTGAATTCCAGGTCTGTGAAGGCCAAGTGAAGGGTCTCCTTCTGAAGAGACTTCTTAAACCATGGTCCTCTTTCCTGATCTGATCGAAGGTCAGGAATCGGGAAGCGAACAGAGAGGTTCAATGCTGGAGTGGCAACTTGTACCGAGAGCCGACAATTTGCAGGGTTATGTGAATCATCTAGAAAAACTTCAGCAAAAGCTTTGTGCTGAAACATAGAACATCAAACATATGCCAAAATGTTAAATGAAGTAAATAAACATGAATGACACGGGTGTGCGATCACTGCAATCCGTACACACACAATCACTATTTCTCCATTAGAGACAATACGTTAACATAAAAGTCAAAATAACCACCACCCTATTGGCTCAGTGTTCTGAAATTTTATACCACAACAATTATGGGCAATAATCATACCATAAACAAAAGTCAGACCCTCATATAAAAAGTCAAAATAAAAACTGAACCAGTGTGAAGACACCTGCACTATAAATGCATATCCATCTTGAAATACATTTAAAAAGAGTAATAAACATGTAATTTAACCTTTCAGCAACTTCAGTATGGTTAAAAGCACGATGGTACCCAACACACTGTTGGAGGGTTTATCTACCAACAGGCAGAAAGACTGGATGTGAAAGGAGATGCCCTCTGCCAAAGGTAAAGCCCGTCCCTCACTCATCCCTGCATTTCCAGGACAAAGCTCTAAGTAGGGCCGCAATGACTAACCCTGAACTCCTATGCAAACCAAGAGTATGAGCCCATTAGGTGGCTCTTTGGAGGCAAAACACACGTGCAACACTGACCAAAGACGGGATCAGAGAACATCCTTTCAAATAAAAACCAATTTCTAGTTTTTTTATCTAAAATGTAACTGTAGGTGGTAACATTCTTCAGTTTCTCGAATCAGTCTCTAATTTCCTAGATGAGTTGTTGTTGTTAGGTACTGTCGAGTCATCTCTGACTCACAGCCACCTTATGTACAACGGAGAGAAACACTCTCCGGTCCTGTGCCAGCCTCGTGACCCTTGCTGTACCCGAGCCCGTGGCTGCGGCCACTGTGTCAGTCTACATCATGAAGGGCCTTCCTCTTTCTCACTGACCCTCCACTTTACCGAACATGACATCCTTCTCCAGGGAATGCTCCTTCTGACAAAATGACCAAAGTAGCTGAGACGAAGTCTGGCCATAATCCCTTCCAAGGAGCATTCTGGCTGCACTTCCTGCAGGACAGATCTGTTAGTTCTTTTAGCAGTCCATGGTACTTTCAGCATTCTTCGCCAGCACCACAACTCAAAAGCATCAACTCTTCTTCGGTCTTCCTTATTCATTGTCCAGCTTTCACGTGCACACAAGGCAATCAAAACACCACGGTTTGGATTAGGCGTACCCTAGTCTTCAAAGAGACATCTTTGCCCTTCTACACTAAAGAGGTCTTTTACAGCAGATGTGCCCAGTGCAACATGTCACCTGATTTCTTGACTGCTATTTCCATTGGTGTTGATTTTGCAACCAAGTAATGTGAAATCTTGACACCTTCAATATTCTCTCCATTTGTCATGATGCTGCTTATTGGTCCAGTTGTGAGGATTTTCACAGCACAGTATGACAAACTGACAGACGAGTGGTGGTCCTAGATTCCTTTTTTATGCTAGACTTGGATTTTTACAAACTTATTCATTCTCTTCCCTAAATTTGAAAGACCAGTCTCTGGAGAAGGATGTCACACTTGGTAGAGTGTCAGCATAAAAGAGGAAGACCCGCACTGCGATGGACTGACACCGTGGCTGCACCAACGGGCTCAAGCCTGGCAACGGTTGTGAGGACAGTGCTGGACCAAGGAGTGTTTTGTTCTGTGGTGCACAGGGTTGCTCTGTGCCAGAGCCGACTCGACGGCACCTAACAGTTACCATTTACCTTTCTAATAGTAACCCTCATGCTGGCGGACAAATAACACAGGTGATGAAGCAGCCATCCTCGTAGAGTGAAAGGTAACAGCACATATAGACACCAGCCCATAAAGCTCAAAACAGCCAACAGCTGGAAACAACGAGAAATAAAGATTGCTGACTTAATGAAAAACTAGCACTAACTAAGGGAAACGCAAGTAAGTTTGTTGTTGTTGTTGTTAAGTGCCGTCGAGTCGTTTCCGACTCATAGCGACCCCATGCACAGCAGAATGAAACACTGCCCGATCCCGCGCCAG